GGTAATTGGGGCTGACATGCGCACATTGGCGTGCTCGGTATCTGGCTGGCGTGCACTGGGCACTGCCAGCGACTGCTGCTGCGGACAGGCAGTGTGTGACGCCCCGCGAGCTTGCGCGCAAGTTGCCCGTTCGCGTTGGCTGACTGCCGGCGCACTGCTGGCGCTACGTGCGGGCAGTGCGGTCACGACCGGCCCTTGCCGGCCGTCCGACAATACCTCTCGACCATTCTGACTTAAATTAACATAAAATAACTTAACATGATCTAACTTGCTGAAATTACTTGAAAACATGAATTTTGCACGAAAAGCAGAACATGGCCGTGGCGTGCGCACCGTGCGCCGCCGACGGCGTTAAGCCGTTTCACGACCAAACCTGATTTTTTTCTCAACAGTTAATACACCACTGAACATGAAATAATGTTTGCTGAATATATTGACATGAAGTGCTCGAAGAACTACTACCTAAAACTATCAATAGCCATGCTCGGCCTGTGGTGCGCGCTACGTGCGCGACCACGTCCTTAGGCCGTATCACCGAACAACATGAACATACTTCGAACAAAACCATTTGACTGCACATGATATTTCATAAAATGACTAGACATGCGAAGTTTGCTCGAAGGATTTCACAACAAAACATGAACGTGCTTACACGACCGAACACACGGTCACGAACAACACATGGCTAAAACATGAACTTGAACTTAAGTTTAAATTGAAATTAAACATGATACTATCAACATCACAAGAAGTGAGCTGAAGCTACCTCTCTGCTTGCTCGGTAAACCTTCGCTAGGTGCGGCGTTCGTGTGTGTGTGCGGTACACGTCGCAGCGTGCGTCGTGCGTGCTAGCATTTAAATACTAAACCGAATGGACAAAAAAGAATTTGGGATGATGAGGTGATTGTTGTCTTCACATTTGAATGACACTTGTAATAATTTAAGGGCTTAAGGATGATTACTCATCAAGGGAAGGGATTAGTTATCCTTTATGCTTTAATTAGATGACACCACATGCTTAGACTTTTCTAAAGAATCCTTCCCACTTTGCGTACGGCTTTTTGAACAAACTTGAGCTAAAATGGATTAATTGCTTACGGCAATGAGTGGATAAACGTGATTAATGATTCCTTAGTCATCACTTTATGCTTAATTAATTATTAAGCATAATACTTAATTACCAAAATTATTTCGAACGTGAACGGGACGTCGAAAATAATTTCGGGTAATCTCGACTGAAAATAATTAATTCCAAAAATAATACTCGAAAATATTATTATATCGGAACTAAAAACATGATTTATATTAGTAATCTGACGGGATATTACAATCCTCCCTCCTTAAAAATTTACGTCCTCGAAAATTCAAAACGAACTGAATAAACATGAAATATGTACATGAAACATAAAGTATGTACATCAAAACTGGAAATCTGGAAAACGAGCGCGAATATCAGCCTCTTCCTCCCAAGTAGCTCCATGGAGATCCCACTGAATACGCATGAGCGGAACATCTCTCTTCTGGAGTCGACGAACCTGACGGTCTAGTACAGCTACCGGTCGCTCCTCGTACGATAAATCTGGCTGAACCTGAATATCTGAATGAGGAATGACGTGATCGGGGTCGC